ACATGTACTCTCAGACAAATGATATGAGACAGGAAAGAAAAGGACATTCTACAATTGAATCAAACAATGACTTACTGCTCTTGTTAGCATGTTTGTATATGGCTAATTGCAGTTAAACAAAGGCAATGCAAAGATGTCCCTTTAAATTTTTAAAGAAAAGATACCCTCTAAAAAGAAAATAATAAGCGAGACGGCAGGTCGTATGGTTAGAAAATTTTCTGTGTACCTCTAACTTCAATAGATCGACCAATTCCACCCAAACTGCTACAATTTAACGTTTCTTCTTGCGTTTACAAACATTTGCACAAGTTCATTTGTTGATAAGAAGTAATTTAGACCCGCGACTGTTAGTTAATTTGAGTCAAACGAACAGGACTAACAACGGTTTAAATATTGATTGGAATTGATTGAAACAAACGATGCAGATATTCTAGATATAAATCTTCGTTCCCATAACCACCAAAGAGATACACAGTCCCAAAATGAAGAAAAAAATATACATAGTGATGTGATATGTGGGAGCCCTACATTGTGATGCAAACATTTTTAAATTAACTTTTCTTTGAAAATTCTTTGTCCTGAAGGAGGCCAAAAGGATCATAAAACAGCAATGGAATCAATGAAGTGATACTTGAGCTCCACAAACGTAAGCAGACATCCTACCCGAATCAGATTTACTATCAGAACCATCAATTTACGTAACGGATCAACGCCATCTACGGTCACACCCTTTAATCTTTGTATTGTTTCTACAGAAATATTGAAAGATGAGCTTCTTAAGTTGTATGTCAACAAAAACCGTCCCACTGGGACAGGTGGAAGAGGAAATCCTACATAAAAACTGTGTAGCCTCATTTAACTGTAACTTGTCTCGAGAGAATGGTCGACCATGGATTTGTGACGTTACATTTCTACCTCAAGGTGGCATTGCCCTCCTTGACAAATGGAACGGCAAACTAAAAATTCTGGACCAGAAATTCTCTTGTAAAACATCGTTCTCTTTAGAAGACACGGAGGCGCTTTCCTCTGTATCCAATGACGTCATCGCTATCATGGTGTCAAACAAAATTTTGTTCTTCTCAATTAAAGACAAAATATCGGATGTAACTGTCAAAGAAACGATATTCGGAGGAAAAGGTTTGGCTTTAACGTGCAAAGACGACTATTTAGTTCTTCTGTACGAAAACCGGGAGGTATATAGCAGCATATACGTCAAAATCATGACCTATTCAAATGGCGGATTGACATGTCACATATCTGTGGAAATTGACATGAAGGTAGATCTATCTAATTACATTGCTATTAGTGATAAAATGAAACGGATTTTTCTTGGTAACATTAAAAAGAAGTCTATCATGTGCTTCTCAACAGCCGGCATTTTACTCTGGGAAACTAAGGTTTCGTCATGGCCGCGAGGAATGGTATTTGTGGACAACAAAATTCTAGTCGCTACTTTTTTCGACCACAAGATCCACTGTCTAAGCATTAAGGGAGAGTATATGGGTGTATTGTTTGACGCCTCTTGTGGAATAAGATATCCGTTAGCACTGTGCTTTCACAAACCTACACAACATTTACTTGTGCAATGTGACCATTTCGGGGATTTCAAAGTTTTTGAGATATCTTCGTTGGAAAGTTTAATAAAAGTAGAAAATTAAAATGTTTTCTCTGTTTTAAATATATATTGGCTTCTTCTTCTTCTTCTTTGTAATCTTTGAAATCATGCATGAATGCCTTGGGATTGTTTGGACGATACTGCTCTAGGAAAAATACGTACTGACAATAAATGTGAAATCAAATTTCAATAAAGTGACAATCTTATAATCACGTCAAACAGGACAGTCAAACAGTGCATATTTTTAGGTACTAGATATAACACTATGAAAGGTTGCAAATGTCAAATATATCAATACATACAGTAATTTTTACGAAAAAAATTATACCGAAAATTTGGAAATATTTACTGTCGATAGGTTAGACTTACGTCACATCTCTCTCTCTTTTTGGTGAGTACCACCAAAAGTACAAAACAATCGATGTCATTCTCCTATTCTATTGACGATAAAGCATAGGTCTTTAGTCGTTATTATTCCCACTATGCCTAAGATCAGTTACATTCAAACCATGCATACAAGGGCTACTAGGCAGGGAAAGCGGATGTCAAGAAAGCCAGACCACGATTTGATCCCACTAGAAAAATGGATTTCTCCTTTGTTCATGGGGAAGTCTTGCTCTAAAGAATGGAATTTTAAAAGCTGTCATATATCCTTTGTTACCCTGTCCCGCATTTACAAACGGGTTTTAGGAAATGGCGATTATAAGGCAGAATCTCTCATCCCCCTTCCTCTTAAACACTCGCACGAAGCATTGTTTTTAGGTACGCTAGTAAGTTCTCTTTCTCTTTTCATTATTAATTTTCTTACCATTATTAATTACAATTAATGTTTATTTATTTATATACATATTGTGCTTGTGAAGAATATCTGGCGTGTTGAATCATTTTTACACTTGATATGCCCCCCCCCCCCCCCCACACACACACACATACAGGCACCCACACAACCACCACCTTCACCAAAGTTGAAAAATCTACTTTTTAAAATAAAAGAATTACTGTTTATAAAATTACCTTGAATTGAGATCTAATCTAACATTCAAAGAATTTCAATCAAGACTATACACACCATACCTTTAGGAAATTTTACAACATTAAATTGATATTTAAAATATTAACAGATACATAGATGTGTAAAGTATATCATTAATGTGGATGGACATAAATCTAAAATTACACATGTAGATTATACTACACGTGTATTTGAACTTTCATTCTCGTACATATGTGTGCTTCATATACAGGTGTCTTTTTTTTTTAATTATTTTGTTTGTACGTTTTTTTGTTTGTTTGTTTTTTTTTTATTATTCATCATTATATCAAGTAAAATGTCATAAACATTTTTGTTATTGAAAGAAGTAAATATCAATGCATGATCAAGTAAATGTTTTGCAAGATTGAAAGCTATATTATTTACGTAGACTCTACTATTTTGTGAATTATTTACTCGAAGTTCTGCAACAAATTTAGGACCAATGATTGCTAGATCGATACAGGCAATAATAAGTATGATTTCCGACCATACATTGACCAATAGCCTCACAGGAAATAGAAGAGTGGGCGAAAGACCGGCGTTTTTCTGCTAAAATACATCCCAATTGTTCCCGTTCAGTATAAATATTGCCGAACAATTTCAGATTTTTGAAACACGTAAACATCAACAAGCCAGGGTAGCATAATAGAAGTAAGTAGCGAGCAGGAATCATGCTTTGAAAAAGGCATTTTGAAGGTCGGTATATATATATATATTAATATATATATATATATATATATATATATATATATATATATATATATATATATATATATATATATATATATATACTTATTAGATAGATAGATAATTGCAATTAATAATGAAATCTTCTCTATCAATAATCATGGTAATTGCTTCACGGAAAAAAATTGTAATTGCATAAGTATAAAGCGTTATTCTGTTTGCAAGTATTCGTTTTATCGATAATTCATTTTATTTTAGCCGGTTCCAGAAATTACGGAAAGTTATTAATTCAAGTATAACTGAACATAAAAACAATCTATTAATGAAATTAGATACTAGCCTCATCTCATATTGTCATAGGTTGGGGAAATATAGGATCTCCCATGATTTGTAGTTGGATATGATTTTTATCCAACGAGTTGTGTGTTTTTTATCCTCAAGCCTTGGCGAGGGGATAAAAACACACAACGAGTTGGATAAAAGTCATATCCAACTACAAATCATGGGAGATTCTTTTTATCCCATGTTTAATACTTCACAACCAATGTTTTACACCGTTTTATATAGGACTCCACTTTATTTTACTTCATCACGCTAACGCAAAAACCATTGTGACGTCACAACTGCACTTAAGTGTGGGATATCGAAAAAATATCCAATGAGTCATATCCACGGGATAAAGGGGTAAACATGGGATAAATATTTTTATCATCGGAATTTCAGGCTGGCCTCGTTTCTTTTACGCCTGATAATAAGGGTTTCCAATGACGAGTTGTATTGTCAGTTTGCCAGTGTCAATCTACAATCTTGCGCAAGAAGATCAACATTGAATGCAGTTACTGCTTTCAAAGCCGACGTTTTATCAACATAAAACTGTCAATGTCTCTTTAATTAACGTCAGGAGAGTGTTTCATAAGTTAAATAATCTTTTCAATTTGTTCACAAATTCGTTAAAATACATATTAAATTTTATAGTTCGTTATATACACAGGACATTTATATATAACAATATACTGTGACAAAGCGTTCTAACAATTAATCCCGATATCGTTCGAAGATATCAAGCGATCAGACGGCCCTTCTCAATATAATAAAATGATCATAAATTAATATATGTTACGAGTTAGAGACCTGAATCTAACTTGGATTTAAATTTCACAGGGGCTGATAGGAAAGATTTCAACCCTTTGAGACATTGTAATATAGGAGATTTTATACAACACCATTGTCTAAAAAGGACCTTGTTTATCAAAACTGTATACATGAAGGACGCAGATGTGGTATTTTTAAAACATTATCTACATGAAATATCGGGTATGCAACACGAAAATAGCAATAGAGCATAGTGAATTGACATACAAGTTCATTGTAAATTTGGAGAAATTTCCAAAATTCTTGCAATGCATTGAGATTTTACCATTGAATTATAAAAGTAAGTACTTAATATCATTTAAAAGTAAAATATTCGTGAAGTCTTCATTCAAAGACTTTTAAATTACAGAAAATTGAAACGCATTACACTGCATGTATTGTTCGATATTATATTGTTTTACGAATAGTACTTCGTTAATAATAAACACTACTTATTTCTAATCGATAATTCAAACAAATATTTATTATTATGAAGCTACAAATCACTAGTCTTATATTTCCAGATAATTCAAAATGTCAAATGGTATGAATATTTCAAAAAACACGGTGAAAAGGATAAGACAAAGCGATCTCCAGCTACATTCAACCATCCACAAAATTGACTCTTCTCTTTCTGAAAGTCTCCATCAAATTGAATACAGTGTGCGGAAAATAGCACAAGAACAAGGGCAAATGGACGGTGAATACCAGCCTTACTATCTGCGGCGAAGACGCTCCATAGAACAAATCGTCGAATCCGAAAAGGCCTTCCCATTTAGCAATGAACTGCGCGAGAGAGCGAGCAGCCTGGGAAGCAGGCCTACGACAAACAACAAACTACAAATTCCGAGCAATACAGCTTCAAAAGAATCAGTGTCTTCTGAAGACGGTAATGGAACGCGTGACGTCAGTTCCCCGAGACGTCGACCCAAAACAAGTGAAAATACAGAGGAAAATCCCGTCAGCAACTTAACTCAGTTTTACCGATTCAGACAAGGAATAGGTTCTAGAAGAAATTCGTTACCTATGAGTTTTAGTCTTCAAAACTTGAATGATCTTCGCGCGCGCAATCAGAATAATGCAGGTGATGATGGAGGACTGAATGTTCGTCTGCATCGCTTGGAACATGAACTCGCTCATCGGAAACCAAAGAGCAGACGACAGCTTCTCGCCAATAGTATGACATCTATTGATGAGAGAAAAGAAATTGAAAAATTAGAAATGGAAAGGCGGCGCCACGAGGCTGAGGAATATGTTAGTTCTATTGAGAAATGTAACAGTTACTATATCCGAAATAACAAAAGTAACCAGGCAGAACTAACCATGGATGAGATCTTTCAGAAATCATAACTCTTTCTGAAGACATTTTTATTTTTCCTTCATAATAACAATATTGTTTACCTTTTATATGAAATGTACATCTGGGAGATGGTGAAACATGCTTATTGCAAGCATGTACTATGTAGCTAATACATAGTTGTAATTATTAGTATAAGTATATATACTTATATTTTCACCAAGTCCATGTTGTTCATGTATATATGCAATGAATCAGGCTTACGACAAAGCATTTCAAGCCAACTCTGTGTTTCATGTACTAAATTTAATGAAAACAAGACTTTGTATTGTAACATATATTTTTTTCTAGTTTTATAACATAAACAAGATGAATGTAAATAATAATTTTTGTTCAACAAAATACGCTCCTATAAGATAAGACCATAAATCACCTGTATTTATTGTCAATAAATGAGTTGCTGGAGGTTTACAAGGCTTAATTACCCAACCAGAAAACCATCCTTTAGCCAACTCTGGAATTCATATTGAAGAATACACTACAAAGTAATCACTAATTACTTCCAAAACTGTTCCTAAGAGTATATCCCAAATTAATACCACCCTCTGACATCGAAATATCCATACATAACTGATTTTCCCTCCTTGTATAATAAAAAAAAATATATTAAATGAAATAATGCTAAAATATGGTACATAGTTCATGTAAGAATCCCTACAGGTAACATGCAGCATTTGCGTATGATAACAGCCCTGGTACTCCAAGCCTGCTGGAATGTCATGGTTACCCTATATAATGTCTCTGGATAATATGTCTTTGACTAGGACAGAGAATACATTCTCTGGACACAGTGAGGTGACTACTATGCGGGGGTCTGTACCATTCCAGGTCCCTCCTTAGGTTGATCTGATTGCAACTGACGTCCGAGGTACTCCCTGAAAACGAACGAGTCAGCTGATGTAGGGATATGAAAAATCAATATTTATATGAATTATAATCCACAAAAACCTATACATTTACATAACCCAATAGAAGTTGATAGAATTATACTTGCATATTAAAATTGTCTTTTAGGGTACCAAAAATTGTCTTACAAAAGGATGTCTTACCAATTATGAACCATTAACTTTTGGACAGCAATGAGGGCTTCAAATCTGACATTAGGATCTTCATGTGACAGATATTGCATCACTAATTGTTTGCCACCCAACTGTTCTATCACACTGCAAAAAAGAACTATTTATTAAAATTATGACTGGAATAATTACAATATTATAAAAGTATTAAGATAAAACATGAAACGTTTTCTGAACTTGAGATATTCTCCTAGATCCACATTTAGATGTAACCCCTGGGATAATGTCTGACATATTCATTTAGATCCTACTTAGTCCTTATCCCTGGGATAATGTCTGATACATTCTCCTAGGTCCTACATTTAGGCTACCCTTGGGATAGTGTCTGACTTATTTCTTTGATCCTATATGTACAGGTACTTCCAATTTACCTCTGGGATAAGGTCTGACATATTCTCCTAGATCCTACCTAAACTTTATCCTTGGGATAATGTCTGACATATATTCCCTTACTTCCCTTACCACTATGATAATGTCTGATATATTCTCGTAAATTTACTTACAATTACCCCTGAGATAATGTCTCGGGCAAATTCTCCTAGATCCTTCTTAACATAATCTTTCAGATAATGTCTGACATAGTCTCTTAAATCATTACACCTTACCCCCGTGGTAATGACGAATATATTCTCATAAATCCTACTTCCACTTTACCCCTGATGCAGTGTTTGACATAGATCCTCTTTATACTTTACCCCTGGAATAAAGTCTTACATATCCCCCTAGAACCTACTTACACTCTACCCCTGTGATAATGTCTGACATATTCTCCTAGATCCTATGTACACTTTACCTCTTGAATATTGTCTTACACTTACATACACATATTCATCTATAGTTCCTACTTACACTCTACCCCTGTGATAATGTCTGACAAATTCTCCTAGATCCTTTTTACACTTAACTCTTGAATATTGTCTTACACTTACATACACATATTCACCTATAGTTCCTACTTACACTCTACCCCTGTGATAATGTCTGACAAATTCTCCTAGATCCTATTTACACTTAACTCTTGAATATTGTCTTACACTTACATACACATATTCACCTACAGTTCCTACTTACACTCTACCCCTGTGATAATGTCTGACAAATTCTCCTAGATTCTATTTACACTTTACCTTATCTTACATACACATATTCACTTAGTTCCTACTTACACTTTACCCCTGGGATAATGTCTGACATATTCTCCTAAGTCATGAGCTGCCACAGAAAGGATTAATGGATCCTTGCTACTTTCTAAGAGTCGAACTAACATCCTTTACAGTGAAATAAAAAATATATATATTGTGTGTAAATACATAATCATAAAATCAGGTTAATCATGCACAATATTCATACACATCGTTTACAAATGGTCATCAACTTTGAAATTCAACATTTCAAAACTTTTCAATGGACAGAACAATACTTTTTATCTAAAATCATGTTTCTCTGTATGTTTTACTGCTACAGTTGTTTGTACCTATACAAATTTTTAATTAAGTTCATACTTAAGGAGGGAATAGTTATTCTCATTAAGTCTGATAGCATTCTCCCTCCAGAATTTCTCATTCTTATGAACCGGGCTCCACTCCAACCTTCCTGATTTGACCTCTGATGTGTACTCATCAAATGAACTACAAGTAAATACATGTATGTCTTCAATTCTTGAAAATACATCCTATACATCAAAAATACATGTAAAAGCTACATAACATTATTAGATGCAGTACATTTAAATTTCTTTAACATTTAAGTACAAGTTTAAGTTTAGAGAAAGTGGCAACATGTTTTGTTACCTAAGATCTTGGACAGACTCCTGCAGTTTCTCATTGAGGAATTCAAGGTCATCTACAATGTCAGGGTCATCAAATTTCCTGGCCTCCAGCAGCTCTAACTGTTTTAGAACTTTACATTGAACCATTGCCACAGCATGTTCATGGACCAGATCTTTCTCTTCTGGCTTCTCTAGCAAGTTCTACAAATCAAATTCAGACATTAACGACAATACAAATACACTGTTCATGTATTTTCTAGAATTAATACCATCAATAATCAATACCATCAAATCCACTGAATATCTGACAAGTACATGTAGTTCTATGGGACTGTTTTTTTATGTTGTTTGAGGTTTCCCTTGAACAAGGCTTTGAAAAGTCAGACCACTGTATAATTATCAACTGTAAATACATGTACATGTTAAATATTTTACGTACCCTGAATGTGGCCAGTATAATTCTTGAGACTTTCTCCTTCACAGATTCACTGAGAATGTCTGACAGTACTGGAATGATTTTATCTCTGAAAACAAAAGCATTTTCTTAGGTTTTGTGTATGAAGCACATGAAGAATAATTCCACTGATATAATTTGTTGATGTTGTTATCAATTATGTCAGACTGTAATTAATCTGGTTGTGGCTGAGAGTACTAACTTGCTCATTCTCTCTGCTATATGAGGACTGAAGCTAAGACACCACAAACAAAATATCAGCTGATACTGGATCTGAAAGCCGACCTTGCTCCCCAGCAACACAGACACAATCCTACAAGTACAAATAAGTTATAAAATAACCCTGTAAGTACAAGAAGGTCACCACACAATCCTATAGAAATTCCATATTACTTTACTTGTAAGTACATGTTGTACTGTAAAAAAAAAAATTTCTTGTAACAATGTCTTCTGACTTACGTAGCTATCCCATCGACATCAACAAACACCTGCCTATATTTCTCAATTCTGAGCATCATCTGTAGGCACCGAGCTGCAGTCTGTATGTACTCATTACCCTGAGGTAAAACAACAGTTTTAAATCCATCAATAATATATCGTACATGTGTTCCAAGATTCAGGCTGTGCATCATTCAACATCAACAACTCTTAATTCACAGATGCTTGATGTTAATTTTTTTTCTTATCACAAAAATATATCCCTCTGTTATTTATTCTAATAACTTAGGTAGGGGTTATTTTTTTCATGATAAGAAAAAAAAAATATAACATCAGTTGCCTGTGCCTGAATTTTAAATTAAAACTTTTTTTAATTGATTTTAAAGATAATCTGTCTTGTGTTTGTTACACTTTTGGGAAGAAGCATTAAATGTAAACTCTTGTACACTATAACATGTGACCTATCTGACTTACAGGAAGACGGAGCTGATTTTTAAGCCAATCCATATAGAATCTTAAATCATCCAGACCCATCAACTCCTTACTCCAACATGCCATCTTAGCAATGATTCTACTTGTCTGTAAAACATAACTACCGTTGAAAGCAGGTCTATTAAAAATATGTGTTACATGTCACAACTTTTTAACAAATAACTTTGCATGCTTTCAAATTTCCTTACAGATGCATTATGCAACATTCCTCGTCTTATTGTGCATAGTTCTGAGTACACAAATACATTATTTATTCAGTCATATCTATTATTCATATAATTCTTTATAATTCCTAGATTAGATTACTATAGCTGTGTGTACCTGATTGACAATAAATCTGTCATTTCTGTTCAGCAGGTGCATGAATGGTGTCCAGACAGACTCTTTCATCTGTTTGGCGTAATCCTTTAAGATTTCTACTCGGGATTTATCCTCCTACAAATACAGTCTTCTATAACATTTGACTTCTAGTCAACATACTTTACTATCTGAATGCCAGTCATCCAAAACACAACATTTTCTTTAACAAGCTTCATCTTCAAATACAGCTTTAGATCAATATTTGGATAAAAAATTACAGAAAAAGTATGCAAATAGTTTTCTCCTGTACGTGTTTCGAAAACTTGAAAAGTAATCAGAGAGCCTTAGCATGAAGACAGTCAAATCACTTGATTAGTGTCAAAGTGTATGCACAAAAGTAATAGCCAATGTTACTACAAGCTACACTGTACCTGTAAAACATCATCCAGCATAGTCAGTATGTACTGTAAGGTCTGATCTTTAGCTATCTGACTCATCAAATTGAAGAAAGTTCTTGCAAACTACAAACACAATATACCACAGTGAGCAAACTTCAGTATTAAATATCTAAAATGTCAATGAGATCTGTTACAAGCTTTTGTACAAGAAAAAAAAGATATAATCTATATAACTGCTATAAAACAAGTCATTGTATGCTTTGATCGTCAACTTTATTCATGTAAGTATTAACATTTTTTAGTAAATAAGCAGTCAAGGTAAACAACTCCTACCAATGATATTTTTGAAATATCTTGCCAGATATAAAAAAAAATCATGATATTAAGTTCTGAATTTGATTGAAATAATAAATCAAATTAAACAAAGTACAATATAGATCTTATAACCTGCGCTCCATTTTCCTTCAGCATGGCAGCCTTTGTTTCAGTGTTTGCATTGTCAAACTGGTAGATAAAATTATAATCTTCCTGAGAAATCATCTGTCCTCTGTCAAATAAGAATTTAATTGTGCATGATTTATATATGTACTCAAAACCCTTGCTCCAGCATACAGTCAGAGTCAACAAAGAAAGTTCCTGATTTATGCATGGTTGAGACAAAATTAGCATCTACGACAGCTTGTAGACAACACAATTATGAAATGTCAGAATAATAAAACCCTTTATATCATGTTTGGTGAAGTTTTCATGTTTACAGTGTAGGAATTTAGGCTGGACTGAGGACATCGGCCTGGATAGCTCAGTGGTTAGAGCACCTGACTAGTAATGCAGGGGTCCCGGGTTCGATTCCCGGTCCAGCCATATGTTTTTCATTATATATATATATTTATGAATTTTCAATGCATATTAACTCATTCCTCCTTTCCATACTACAGATGGTGCCGTGGCCTACCTTGTTCAGGCAATATAATATGTATATGTAATTAATGTTAAGTCCTGACAAGGTGAACTTGTGTTGTGTCTTCGGGGGCGAAGACTATTTAAGGAGGGAGGAATGTAGGAATTTAGGCTGGACTGAGGACATCGGCCTGGATAGCTCAGTGGTTAGAGCACCTGACTAGTAATGCAGGGGTCCCGGGTTCGATTCCCGGTCCAGCCATATGTTTTTCATTATATATATATATTTATGAATTTTCAATGCATATTAACTCATTCCTCCTTTCCATACTACAACAGCTATAATATTTTCTTAGGGTCTGTATTGGGATAGTTTTGGTGCATGTAATTTTAAATTTCAAAACAAAAAATATTATTTCTGTATCTGACTGCATCATATTCAAAGCAATACTTCAAATTTTCACTGCTTCTTATCACAATATAAAAATCTCCTTTAAGATTTTAAACCTTTTATTTTTATTTCTCCTTGCTAGCTAGTGTGGTAAGTTATTTCAACCCACCTTAAAAAAAGGGCCAGGAAAAGATATTCTAGCGGGTCTAAATCTATGTCCTAATGATGACATTTTAATAACCCTATATTATCACAACACTCTACATATACATGTACATGTAAGACATTGATGACATGGCAAATGAACAAGACACAGATCTAATCACTTACTGTACATAGCTCTGCCAGTTAACCCTGTTTGCTCTAACATCATTGGCTCTCTGCTGAAGTAAACTGGTGGCCACTTGGGCACCTTCAAATAAACCAATCAAATCCTTTAAACTTGAAACATTTGACGAAATTTTATGTTAACATGCAACAATCATTTTTTAAATATTTTTCACACAGTGATTTCTAATTATGAGATATACCTTTAGTTTCTACTGAACGACCATACATCCTAAAATTCGTTTTACCTTCCACTAAACAGTGCATCTACCTGCTGACATAAAATGTCACCGAGGCCTTAGTTAGCATGTATGTCGGGAACCTGTTACTTGCCTAGCATTGTTATGTTGGCTGATCAAACAGAATGGGGAGCTAAAGTATGTGTTTAAGGATCAATAATTGAATGTCTGCACACTTCAATCTGTTGCTGATGTCCTACAAGTGTACAGAATAGAGTATCACTTATGGAATTCATTAGATATATGGTACATGTATGCCTTATGCTCATACAATTACACCAAGGACATTGATTCAACAGAAAAATCCGACAGTGCACCACTGGATTGTAAAATCAGCTGTTTTTCAGCAATCTATTCAATCAATTCTATTTGGTGCATTATGCAGTGGGCTCTTTTTAAACGTTAAAATTCTAGTGTCTTATATGTGTATGTACTAAATTATGATAGAGATATATTCTTAAAATTAATATTTCTTGCAAAAAGTATTCCTTTAATAGAGGGGCTTGTTTCATGATAAATATGTTGCCTTTTTTTTATATAAAGAAACAAAATAGATATCCAGCATATTGAACAGGTCAAATCCGAGGAATCATTGATCAATACAATGTATAAAAATTATATTCCTTGTCACTATAATTTCTTTATGAATGGGTAAAATGTATATTATATTGAATTTGAAATGGGATACATTTTAATTACCCCTTCCAAAGAAATCTTTTACAGTATTGCTATACACAAATCTAAGTGTAAGGCTCCAACTACTTGTCTTTATGACAACTATATAGCAGCAAACAATATGTCATTCTTGGAGACAATAACATGAATGCATATCATGTTATACATGCACACCCCTTCTTTTGAATTAGAACCCTTTCAATGCTTTAGTAACTACACAACTCTGTGTGTAATTAACAACCTCTTTCCTGTAATATCTGTTTATTTAGCATTGTCTGGTCCACCTGGCTTTGGCTGCGATGGAACCGTTGACCAGTTGACATTATGACCTTTCCTGGCTCGGAAAAGCGCCGAGAGAACAAGGGTTTCCTCTGCTGCACACCTGCTTTCTCTTGTCGTGTGCTCTTCCTTAATGAGAGATCAGTCACCAGCTCTGCAGGTCTGTCTTTATGCTCATGTTCATTTACCTCATCCTCAGAGTGCTCTCCCCTTTGCCCCTGATCACAGTGATCTGCCCTTTGCTTTCCTGAGAAACGCAACTGTCTAAATCTTTTCAGGGTTGCATCAGAAGTAACATCATTTCCACTTTCGTTCTTTTTGTCAGCAACAGAATAAGAGCTGGTTCTCCTCATCATCAAGTACTGGTACTTATTTTTGCTCTATCTACTTTCAGTGAATAATCACATAAAACAATGATCACATTAACTTAAAAATCCATCAGAGATGTCCTAAAGCAAATGGTTTCCTAACCACTACAGTATTTTAAACTGAATCTTAATCAACTCTTGTAGCTCACAAATATTCCATTACTTTCACAATTTAAATCAGAAGATAATTAAGCTCCAATAGCATCACTTTGATTATGGACATATATGTCACAGAAGCATTTATCCAGCCTTGATGATAAAACTATCAGGTAAAACAATTGGTACTAAATATTGATCTTATTAGCCTCTTACACCTGTTGCTGACTGATTACAACTATTTTGGCCACAGGTTTTTTATGTCACATTATTTCTCAGATCCAGAAGTTTGACCTTTAACTAGAAATTCATTTCTATTCTCCTCAGTTGTTGGTTAAAAATGATTCCTTCCTGGTAAATGTGACCAGTAAACTATCTACCTATTACTCTGACCAGTAACATCTATTATCCAACAAATGTAATTCTACCTGTGTCTGTCAAAAGTCTAACACCTCAGTGATCTAATCAAACTGTTTTCTAAGCTGCAAAGCCTGAAGCAAAGTGATATTCATACAACACTGTGTAATTCATAATGCTATAGGATATGATATGGGAATAATTTTTACAGGTAAGTAGATTATTAATAAAAAAAAAAACAGTAAGTTAATATTCATATAACAGAAAGCATTTCTGTATAGTTACATGTATAGATTTATAGTAAACATGCACTCATGCAGAGTCCCGAGACTTGTATCTTCTTAAATGTTCACTGTACTTGGTACAAGATGGAACTTCTTCAATCATTTTGATAATTCCAAGATCATACTTTTCACACGGTGTTTGCATTACTATTAAAACAGGGTGAACAAGAGGTACTGTGAGCACTGAGCTCACTAAATGATACATCCCCCCCCCCCATCCCGCCTCCAATATGATTATACATTGTAATGGCAAAGTCCATGTTTTGCTATGGTAGACCCGAAATAAATGTCAGATTAGAAAGTTAAATAGGAGGTACACAATGGCACTATGTAATAAAGATTCTGTGAATGTATCATTAAATTTTATTCAGTGGTATAGGAGGAGTTGCAGATAAGAGATGGGTACCCCCTCAATATCATAGAAAGAAGTGCAGTGTATATGTTTTGCTATTGGAAACCTGAAATATGTAGTCCGATGAAAAAGTAAAATAGATGCATAATGACACTATGTAACAAAGGTTCTGTGAAAGTCTCATTAAATTTCATTCAGTGGTATAAGAGGAGTTGTGGATAAGAGATGGGTACTCCAAAGTGTAATGGACGAACATACAGACAGAAGGCAGACATCCCCATCACTATACATCACCCGCTTTTCAAGTAGGGGGTATAAAAAAATATTTCTTGTTTTGGAGGTAAATTTACAGGCAGAGGACAAAGCTTTATACTTATTGCACCCTGCAGCATCCAATGCACACTTTCCTGACAAATATGTATAAAAGACTTTTGTCAAAACTTTGTCAAATATTAGCTGATTTAGATTAGCATGCAGAATCATTCTAAAAATGATTTAAGAGTACCAGAACGACATGCTTCAAAAATCAACAGTGCATACTGAAAATGCTTCTTCAGTTTTAAAGAAAATTAGCAACAGTATATCATAAAATTCCTAATGCATTGAAAGAATACAAGAGAACTCAAAAATGTTGTCTTCACATACCGATTGGCAAACTCATGTCTGAAATACAACATAAAGTTTGTAAATTTGATTCAATAGAAATGTAATCTCTGCCTGATTCAATAGAAATGTAATCTCTGCCTGATTCAATAGAAATGTAATCTCTGCCTGATTCAATAGAAATGTAATCTCTGCCTTAGATACAAGCTATATCTTAAAAACAATTTCTGCATGAAAACAAAATAAATGAATATAAATAAAAAAAAAAAAAAATAAACACTCTTATAAATAAGTATATCAAAATATGATAATTTGAAATCAATTATTTTCTTCAAGAAGAACTTGTCAAACTTAGACATACTGTAAAATCATCAATGTTCGTGGGGGACCAATGTTCATGGATTTCCTGGGTCACCCTTACCCACGAATGCACATCCCAAAGAACGTTTATTTTGTTAACATATTGATTCATCATGTTCATTGAATCTACCGTATAAATGAGTAACCCACGAAATTATGCCCCATGAACAAGTAAAATTTTGCTTGTCCATGAACACTGACCCCCTGAACTAAAACGATTCCACAGGATTTATAAAATCTTATTGTTAATTATATGCAAATTATTACCAATCTTTCAGTTGTAAAAAACTATCACATGAGACCTCAAACCTATTTTTTTGTTGTAGTTGTAGAAGGTGGTTAAGATTCATTTTCTCTGTATTATAAATATTTTTTTGTTACTAAGTGATAAATTGTGTGCAGAGTTCTAGTTCTTATAAAAGTGGGTAAAAATAAGGCCATGCATATAAAATTAATCTTGGGACTCTAATCCCCCTCCCCCATCCTTCTCAAACTGTCCTGTTCCATTCTTTTTTTCATTTTGGTTTAAAAAAGGACCAAAAAAACAAAACAAAACAAATGCCAGAAAAAGATTATGATGGGTAAATAGGGTATATTCATGTATATTATAAGATAGAATGTTCTATTGTTAAAAATATGATAAATGTCCGGTTTAACGATAGAATGTGTTCCGTGTATTGGCAATGTAGCAAAACAAACGTGGGCAATAACTTTAACTCCGTGCATATACTATGAACAATTCAGAGTTCCAAATGTCAACAAGGCTTGTAAAATTTGAAGCAAATAAAACACTTTGAGAAAAAGCGTTGAATTCTTCCATTATACATGTTATATGGATTAATTTTTTGGATGAAAAGTATCCACAATCTCAAAAATGTTTGTTATGATTAATTTCATGGTTATTTTTAATGCAACTCCATTTATTTTCTCCAAAATTGTTTTGGAGCAATTCTGCAATTTTCTGCTACATTTCGGGTATGTGGGAGGCATTCTAACTGTGGTGATGGCCTGTCCCGAGACAGATTATTCTAACTAATACATGTAGAGCAAAGTTGGGACATACACGTGGATACATGCACTTGGATTGTAAAAAATTTGATTTAAATTTATCAAAACTGAAAAATGGTTTGTTTACTCAAAATAATAATGTGATTTTTTTCCCTTTAGCAAACAAAGATGAAAAGAGATCAGCTAAGCATATGAGGCTTAAAATATATCTTCCGCTGTAATAAAAGAAAAAAATGCAGGCAGATTAAGGTTGGGGCAGAGAGAAGGGGATTTTCAACATGTTCAAGTTGCAATGTACAAAAGCTGGGTCATTAAACACATACATAATATAGTAATGATATCTGTCTGAATGCCATGTCCCCAAACCACTTTCCTCTTTCCAAATTAGTAAGATTTGTTAAGGATACACCAAAGGCTTTTATCAAGATTTTCAACAATTTTGAGATTTTTGGCTAAGAAAAAGAAGTTAATCACTGCTTTATAATACATGCAAAATTTTTCAATTTTTTATAATAAGCTGTGGTAGATAAACATTAGGTTAAATCCGGGATTGAGAACTTGTGAAAATGGATTAACAATACATAAAGGTCAGTTTTCTTGTGACAGTTGTGTGTATTTATGTTAAAATTGATAATATAACACGTCTATTACGTACATTCAGACGTATTTTAGACGAAATGTCAGTTGAAGTGTAGACCGTCACCGGTTCGAGATTTACACGTTTTCCAGAATCAAAACATGAAGGCTTGCGAAGAGAAGTGGATGTAGGCGAAAGCCTGTCCACTTCTCTAAAGAGAATAACATACCACAGGTTATGATCTGAATTTTTACCAAATTTTCTGAATTTTTGGGATTTGCAAAAAAGTCGTTGTGTGTTAATGTTGACACGTTTTAGCTTAATCAAGAGATTGTGTCGGATTTGTTATGTCAACAAATATTGTGAAAGCTGCTAACAGAAATCAAAGGACAGAAAGCTCATCAATATGCATATACACAATTTACGGAATCTAGTTTTATTCTTTATTCTGCTGAGAAACGTCAAAGTCACATGAACTCGAAGCATGGTTGTTATCTGCGAAACAGACACTTCAAGATCAGAATGCTCATTTTTACCTTTTTCAATGTCATCAATATTACTAATGACACTTCCTAAATTTGAGATGTTGGCCATTTTTGCTCGGTGTTGTTAAATTTTGCCAGAAATTCTTCTGTATCTCAGATAATTTATCATATGACTTGCTTCCAATATCTTTTTGTATTTCATGTGTCATTATCACCCGACAATAAACATTCTTGTGATCGTGATGGCTGTTAGTATTTCGAGCCCGATTTCATTACTTTTCCACTGGCACCAACCAAAATAATTTGTTAGATTTTTTTCGGTATCTAAAAAATGATATTATTTCAAACGCCAAAAATTTCTAACAAAAAAGAAAAATAAATAAGAAGAGGGTGGGTGGGTTCTTGTTTGCATTTCAAAAATGATGACTTTCTATAAATTTGACAAATTGCCTTGCTTCATATACATGTACATGATATAACGCCATTAACCGAAAAAATATGTTAACTGCAAGCAGAGATACAAAAAACATTATTTATGTCTCTGATGCAAGGTATCTTCAAATTTTAGAGATATGATGTACTCAACAGGCCCGTAGGAAGCAATTTCAGGGGGGGGGGGGGGGGCACTGCCATACATATTCAGTTGGGGGCATTATCAACTACCAAAAATTCATTGACAAGCAAAAAAAAAAAAAAAGTCATCAAACGTTTTTTATTGAGGGGGCACAAGCTAAATTTATATATTGTGGGGGGGGGGGGGGGGCACGTCCTTTAATAAGAAGAAATTAATTGAAATTAACATCGATATCGATGTTAAATAATGATTTATACAAATTGGAATAATAAATTTATTATTTATTTTAAAAATTCTCTTTCAAAATATTACTTAAGGAAAAAAAACAGTCATTCATAAGAGAGGTTGAAATTAAAAAGAAAATCATGAAGACAAGATACATACATGTATGTATTCATGTCTCTATGAAGGTCGTTATGATGACCTTGTTAGCAAATATAACCTATCATTAGATCGTTTTTTGGCTGACGTGTTTCAAACCAATATTGTAATACAAATTACATGTACTTAATTTTTACCACTGAATGTTCCGACTATCTAACTATGAATACACAAGGCACACGGAGGGTGTGGCCGGTGTCCTGGTCAACAGGAGATGCATCGTCGGATACCCATGGGTGATCTCATTTTTAACTCATCACCCAGTGATGAGTAAAAGACGAGATCACCGGTTATCCGATGATGCAGGGGATGCTTAATTACTCCTCCTGGGCACCTGATCCCACCTCGGGATTTTCCGGGGGTCTGTGTTTTATGCCCTGTTCACAGATTTGTATTGTTTTTTTTTTTTTTGTTTTTTTTTTCTTAGATCGATCACTGTTCGTTATCTTCACCTTTTTCATTAGTCTCACATTTTAGGGTATCTCAAATAATTTTTTTGAAAATCCTATAAAATGTATGTGTATACATGCAAGTATCCCCATACTTGTTTAATTCCTATGAGGGGCCATAATTTGAACAAACACAAATTCGCACCAGACTAGCATGCTTGCATAAATTATGAGTAATTGTTGTACATGTACATTTCTTGAGAAGAGGTTTAATCCCTATACATTTATATGTAAATATTTGATTCTTTATTGCGGCCACAACTAAAAAATTTGAGTATTTTACTTTCCCATTAATATATTTTGTAGATAGTTTGAATAAATTTGGTAAGGATCTGCATTTTTTTTTTTGCCTTCAAATAATATGTGATCTTGTTTCCTGAACTGATTTTAATTACTTTTAATTAGTACATTCCTTTCTACATAAACAATGTACCGTAAACAGGCTTGAGGTAATGCTAAATGTAATGCATTGCAATACAATGTACAATGCTCAAAGCAATGCTACGGGTATATACCTAGTAACCTGACAAACCTGTAATGCCAAAAATCTGCATTACTTGTAATGGTAATGTAGTGGATTATTCAAATCTATAGAGTAATGCTGGTATTACATAGCATTATACAATGCATTACATGTATTTTGTGTGAACAAATTTTTTAGAAAATGGACATGGAAATCATTGTTTAATGAACAAATTTGAATCTGCACTACCTGAGGATGCTTGAAAATTATGTGATCATCTCCATCCTTGTTGTTATTGAGATTTTTTTTCTTGAGATTCAAGCTTGTGCAAAACATTACGCCCTGGGGGTAGGATAGGTAGGGCCTCAACAGATCAAATTTTTGACATAGGAATATATAGGAACAAATCTTTAAAAATCTTAATATCCTCAAGAACGGCAAACCGGTGATAATTCAATTTTTTTGGAAGCATCCTCACGTAGTGAAAATCCGAGCTTGTGCATACATGACCCCGGGGCTAGGGTGGGTCCACAATAGGAAATCAAAGTTTTACATAGTGATGAATAGGAAAAAATCTGAAAAAGTCTTTTGCAATTGAAAGCCATGATCAGTCATAATTGAGAGGAAACATCCTCAGTTATATTGATATGGAAGCTTGCTAGCTCCAGGTAGTGTAGGTTAAAATTTGTTCAAATCATGAGTGTTGGTGGTAGGGTTGGGCCAAAATAGGCAATCAAAGTTTAACATAGGAATTATGTATAGGGAAAAAAAACTGAGGAAGAAAAGCAAGACCATTAGTGACTCAATTGACCATTGTGGCCCATCGAACTGTTGTTTTAATAATCTGTTGAATTGGGGCATCACTCTTCATTAAGCAAACATGAATCCCCTTTGCAGAGTTTGGTTGATATTTGGCTCTGGTGAGTTAAAAAGGATACATGTATTTCATTTTTAAAGCAGAATTGAAGGAAGATTAAACCATCTGCTTATGTTTATCTGACAAAAGTATGAACTCTCCATTGGCTAAGGAACAGGTTTGCTCTATGTCAATAAAGAACCTTAAACCATCTGCTTATGTTCATCTGACAAAAGTATGAACTCTCCGCTAAGGAACAGGTTTGCTCTATGTCAATAAAGAATTAAGCTCTCTAGTTTAACAACAAGTCATGCAAATGTTAAAGAAATTTAAACCTTGGCGTGAATGCCACTCAAAAAAAGAGTATAATGTGGAATCATCATTGTTCGTGGGGGACCAATGTTCGTGGATCACCCTTATCCATGAATTTACATCCCCACAAACAATTATTTTGTCAACTTATCTATACATTGAATCTTCTGTATATCTATATGAATTAACCATGAAATTACGTCCCCACAAACCAATAAAATTTTGCTTGCCCACAAACATTGACTCCCATGAATTAAAATGATTCCACAGTAATGGCTGATTTTTGCTGACCCGAAGAAGAAATAACTGTGTGTAAATGAAAGCATATTTTATTCATAAAAATATCAATATAAAAATATATAGGAATATTAAATAGAATATTGATTGTGGATTAGTAAACCCAATCATTTAACTGAACAAAATGATGTAATACACTTACAATTATGTATGTGTCATGATTTTTTAATCTAGTAAATAAAATTTACACAAAACATAGAAATGTAGTTGACTATCACAGACTAACTTATGAGGTTTGATCTACATGGAATACTCTTAACAAACATACAATTCTCTAACAGTAAACATGTCTATTTCATCCTTTGAAGGATCCCTCAATGTATATTGCACACTTAACAAGTATTGATATTCACTTGGTAGGATGGGATACTTAAATGATATACATGTATGTTGATTCAATCTTTAATTTTTCATAGTTTTCCTTCTTCACACAGTTAAAAAGTACAAAAATAAAAAAAAAAATCCAAGAACTCTTGTTTTCTTCAGTGACTTTAACAGTCTGAAACAACTGTACCATGTCACTGATCAAAGGTGGACGGATGCATGTGCAATATACAAATTATCAATACTACAATATTCAAGCAGCAAATCTATATCTACATGTAAATTAGCTTTTGCATTTCTTGGGTACTGTATATCTTTATTTTTAGCAAATTTTAAAACACACTTTCGAAAACCCACAATTTCTTTGGCATATACATATTCTAAATTAAGTAAAATAATATGCTAAAATAATTTAAAGCACTTTTAAAGACATTTCACTTAATCTAAAATTAATTGCCTATAATAATCTGAGAAAATCTCTATAAAAATAAACAGAGGGCATAAACATAGCAACTTCAATTCAAATAGTCATTACATGAAGAGTTGAAATGTGATTGCTGAACATATAGTAAAAAAAAAAAACTGCAGTTGATGCACCGTTGAAAAATGAGGGCAAGCTGACATGTATAACATACAATTACAAATCTGAACACATCAAAACAAAATGAAATCTCAAGAACGAAAAACAATATTATTAAAGTTAACATACATGCATGTTATAGCACATTCAAACTAAAACAAAAGAGCTCCATGAAATTTTTACAAACTTTTAGTTCATTCAAGTACACGAGTTCACAATTTGCATGGAAGACAAAACACAAAGATTTGATTCCACACAATAATGTCTTTGTACTAAATTAAACACAGAACTCAAAAAAAGAAAATAGTATCAGCACCATTTTCTGTGAAGAAATGAGTACATGTACCGGTAATCATAAATGAGTTTTCATTTGATATGACAGATATGTCTCACAGCTTTGGTTGATTTCAAGGAAAGGATGCTAAGCTTCAGAGCCAAACTCATCCTACAAAGAGAATGTTTATATTTGTAATTTGGGTATTTGTATAGGTATCAAAAAAAGTTTTATTAACATTAGAATTAACATGCACCATAGTTGGACTAAGTGTAAGAACATCTGATTTCTGTTTACCTGATATGGTGCTGTGGGTGTCTGATTAAATGTAGGTCGGTCTATCCGAAACTGTAATATAATTTGAACAATCAATGAATGTTAAAAACAAAGTTTAAATGGACAACTTTTCTAGACACCTAGTAGTCTCAAATTAAGGAGGTATTTGTGACTATATCTACCATCTTACCTCTTCCCTTGGGTCCATAACATTAAAAAGAAAATCCCAAGAAAAGTTTGAGGATGGAGGAAGGTCATCTCTCCTTGCATCTGTAAAACAATTATTATATCAGGTCATACTTTCTGTCCACTGGATTATCAATTTGCTATTGATAATAAAGACTGATGTCATTGATAATAATGACTAACCAAAATGTGAATTGTCAGTGAAGGTGTCAACTTCCTCCCTATAAAACTGGTTCCCATAATTGTACGGTTCTTCCTCAAATGGCTCCTGATGTCGCTGAGAATCTATGATATCTCTTGGCTGTTGTACATATGGTGAGGCTCCAAACATGCCCACCCCTAAACCACCACCATAGATAGGTTTGTGTCCCGAAATCTTTGAGCTTACTGAGCCAAAGGCTTCTCTGATGTGATACCTAAAAAAGGTGTCAAGTGATGGTTTATTTTGGGGTAACATAAAATAAGTAACTTTTATGTTTCATTTAGTTAAGAGGATTTTTTTTCTCTCAAACTTAAAAGCATCATAGAAACTACTCACGGATCCACTGATGAAAATTCCGAATCTGTATACGATCTTCTGCGTTTGTTTCTGCGACACAGAAGGCACATCAGTATAAGGATTAGCAGGAAGAGAATAAGTGCCAAGGGTACTCCCAATCCCAGGCCGAAAATAAGGTCAGTGTTGGATGGCTCTGTAATATGAAGAAAAGAAAAGTTAATTACACTTAATGTTGATAAGAACAATGTATTTGCAGATGTGTCATTTTCCCTGGTGGTTACATTGTGCGACATAATAGTAGCTAGTCTTTGTCACTGTATAATAGCATTTAAAGGGTGGTAAACACTGGTGGTTGGTGCACTATAATTTTTTCACTTTTTATGGAAATAGCATTATCAGCATTGTCAGCAATGTTTTTTTTATCACCAGATTATATGGGAATATGACAAAATTTACAACACTAAAAACTCTATGATCTAGGTTACTAATCATTCATTGATATCAGAAATGGCAATTATATGACATTATATGCACAAACACTTTCTTTCAGATATTGTCAAAAATGGCAATGTCAGGTGATAATGAGGTGCACTTAATTATCATTCGGTTCTATGCTGGGAGGAATGCAATGCTTGTCCTTACAGGGATAGAGGTAGGATAGATACAGTCTGGGACACCGGTTGATATCTGGCAAAAGAGGCTCAGGATAAGCTCAACTTTTTATCCCATGGAAGAAGTGCTTTGTAAACTGATAAACTGAAAAGTCTGGAGCTGGACATCATACTTGGAGAACAAGGTTTAACAGTTTGAAAAGTTGTGATTATGATAGAGGTTTGGAAATAGTCTATTTAATTAAGTAAATCTGCATTCTTTTAATAATTTATTCATTTAATAATAGAAAATTCAATGAAGTGATAAAATTCTGCTTCAAGTGAATTTTTAAAAGACTGGTTCAGAATAAAACTGCACAATTCCTTAAAATTTTCACAAACTACGCGGTACATGAACTACACTTTGATGTTGGTGGTGCTGCACCAAAGCTATTACGTAAGGTCTGTTTAACTAAGAGAAGAATGTTATTTAAAGATATATTTTATTAAAATTTCCATGTAGTATTCAGAACAATGTTGACTATGGTCATGCCAATTTTTAACTATATGATTTTAGTGAAACAAAATGACATCGAAAGTGTTTGCAATTTCCTGGAACAACCCTCATATTTTAACAAAGGTGTGTCAGCAAATTTACAGGTATTGCAGGTAAAAACATGAAATTAAATAACACTGGGTGAAAATAACCATTATATATATAAATTATACTGTCTGAAATTGAAAATCAGAGTAATGCTTACCATCTGTCTGTGCAGGGGTGGTAACTGTTGTAGATGGTGCCTCCCTGATAGTGAAATAAACAGTTATACATGTACATAGAAGTTCAGTGGAATTGACTATGTAAAACATAAGAAAAATACAATTTTTGAAATTAAGATCTACTTACACACAATGGTATTTGTTTGTTTCAAATACACAGATCTGTTGCTGGGAACAAGTATAGCAGATAACTGCAACTGTTTGAACAAGAAAAAAACCCATGTAAATCAATACTGTAAATGTATGTATGTATATGTTAAGAACAATGGATTGGAAAAAATATTCAAAGTTTAACAGTCCATCATTCTACATTCTACACACTATGACACATTTTTTAACACTCATAGTGCTTGGTAGAGAGATAGAATGAATACATCTTCTGAAAAGACAAAAAGATTTAGAGAAGCTGTCCAAAAATCTGTTAAGGGTAATAAACTTAATTTATAAATCCTTATACATTGTCTTTCTGTTGAACTTGACATACTTACCAAGACTAGTGTTGTTCCCTATATATGTCTGATTCCTGAGTTTGATACAACTTGTCTCAACTGTCAAGCAGTTCTTATTGTCCACATTCTCATACAGCTCTAGTGCAACTGTCCTTGTATTAGCCTCTGTTACACTAGTATTCATGGACACCAATGCAGTGATCTCAGTTTTACTACCTGACAGCTCTCTACAATATATTAAAAAAAAATTGTCACTGAAATTTGTGGTACAGGGTAATGATGACTTCCTTTCTCTCTGTAAATCCTATTGACTGATAAATCTACAACACATATGTATCTTACCTGAATTCTTGAATGAAAATATCCTTTAGATTTGGAGAGGACAGAATTCTTCTCAACTGGAAAGTTAAAATCAATATTTCAATAAAATTTATGACATAAATGTACATTGTATATGGCATGTTCCTTTTTGACAACCTTTTTGAAAGGATACTAAGACATGTTAACTTAAAGAAAATCAATTAAGTTTGCATTGGAAAAAAAATACTTTAGATATGAATGCAATCCTTACTGAAGAAGAAATCTGGTCCGAGTACTGCTTAAATTTTGGTGTACGTGAGTCATTGAAGTGAGGCTCGAAAGCTTTCTCCAAGGAGAGCTGGACAGTCAGTGTCTTGTCTTCATCTGAAGTTTACCATATAAACAAATGTACCTCAAAAGAATGCTTTTTGATTGCATAATTACTGGTGAAAATACAGTTGTAGTTTTTTGAAATTGTACGTCTTATACTTTGGGATAACAAAATTATTAATGTATTAGACTAAAGTAAATTCTCACAAACGTTTGAAGTCTGACTTACCAAAGGAAGGCCTATAAAAGAAAAAAATAAAACCAAATAAGAAAACATGACAGAAATAATTAGTTTTTACATAAAGTATTGTCAGTAACTAGAAAACTGACAAAGTCATACACATTGTACTTGATCTAGACAGACAGACAGACCCTGTAGTGTTTACTGTGGGGCATCAGCATCTTAATTGTTTCAAGGCTCTAATTTAAATTTTACACTATTTTTTGGTCCTATGCCTTAATGGATTTACATAATGTGATAATTAATTCTTACTACTATTGTGTATTACCTTTGAGTTATCATTTATAGTTACAGAAACATATATACCAGCACTGATAATCTGGTTGATGAAGATTAAGGAAGAGCTGATTGTGCATGCTCACCAAATAAAAATCATGATTGCGCATACTCACCAAATTGACAAAAGGGAAGTTGAAAGGAGAACTAATAACTGACTTATAAGAGTTACTGCCAACCCCCCAACAAAAATTTGATCCACAAGCAATCACTGCACTAAATAACATGGTTTATCCTTGTGAGATAAACCCTATTATATCATTTATAGTTACAGAAACATGTATACCTGCACTGATAGTCTGTCTCATTGAAGTAATAACAGGAATCTGGACACAGATTACAAACAGCTGGTTCTACAAATGGAAATATACATGTACAGTGGATAATTACAAACAGGGTTCATATCAGGATTATGGCTAATTATGTTCAATATTGAGTATTGTCTTTGGAATAATGTTTTATTTTATATGAATTCACTAAAGTGAAATCCCTCTCAATCCTTAAGTGTATATATAAAGCCTAAGCTTAATCCATTTCTATTCT